CCGCCCCCCCCCCACACCCTAATCCCCTGTTCCTGAGCCCCTCACACTCTATCTCACACTTAAATTTCTTATAGGTACTGTCATATCGCACCCCCTAACTCCCCGTTCTGAGCGAAAGAAACGTAAGTTACTTTCACCTGCTGGAGCAGAGAGGCAACAGCAAGGGGATGCAAACCAGCCGGGTCAATGGCAGTGAGTGGTGTCCACTAGCCCCAAAAAAGCATGGACAAAAGAACCGAGCTCTGGCCCATTGCTTCCAGGAGTGGAGGCCCCGCTAGGAGAGCAGACAGACCCTGTATTGAGGGTGCTGGCTATTTCCCTCCGGCACTCCAGCTCCCAGACTGCACTTCCCTGTGTCACCACTAGGTGCCTCTCCAAATGCTGGCTTGCATAAGCAGCCATCCTACACTGAAGTCATGGGGCAGCACTACTGGCAGTGAACCCCAGGAGCCGCATTCAGATGGAGCATTGTGAGGATTCGGGGAACGGTTGCTTGTTCCCCATTTCCAGATACTAGAAGGAGAAACAAGTGAGCCAGTAAACTTTAGGGTTTAGAAACAAAACCAGTTGAGGAGGCATTTTAAAAGGCACCCGTGAAATCAGGCATCCACAGTGAAACTCATTATACAGTCTTGACATAGCACAGACACGCAAACCCTGCTCAGATTGCAGGGCAACGGAGGATTGGAAAAATAATCATAAATACAGAGAAAGGACAACTCAGAAGAGTAGCAACAGTCCCGGGCTGGATTAAGTGATAGACGCTACTGGCCCATGACAAGGACTCCGGCTCCGGGAAGCAGCTCAGGTGTCTCAGTTCTAGTCCTCATGGATGCAAAGAGGAAACATGACAATGTGTCAGGAGTGCAACTGTTTTAATAGTAGACCCTACAAGCCAGGGATAGAAGAACCGAGGGGTCTTGACTGCGGGAACCCCCAGCTCTAAACCCCACCCCTACTCCTTCCTAGTCTGTAGATTTAACCCACAGTCACACTCCCTGGCGAGACAGATGTGTCGAAACGAGCCTCAGTAAAAGGTACGGAGAACAGTTTATTTAGAAAAGCTGCAGCATAGCAAGAACCCACCAAAGTGTGTTCTACCTTAGAATACAACTACAACTCCTCTTATAATAGGAGCTACATAACAAACCGTCACTCTGCGCATGTTTGTTACTGGGGAAACTTTCAGCATGATTACATTCTCTTTTATGATAAAATGTTTCACTTTCTCACACTTTCAGACTACACGACCTTCTCGCATACATGAAATGGCGGCTATTTACAGGCTGGATTCCACAGATGGGAGGCTGGTTTAGAAATTCTGAGCCTGCTGCTGCAAGCGCTTTAATGAAGGCGGATTGAAGTCCTGCAAAAAGCTCCTCCTGCTCCCACAGCGCGATGGCAGCTCCTGCCTCCCGGCCCACAGGTCAGCCCTGCAAGGAACGAGAGACAGCGGCATGGTTCCGGAGGGGTGGGAGGGAAACACAAACTCCCAGGAGAGTCTGGATCTCGGCTGAGTGGGATCAGGTCGTCTGTGCATGTGGATTCAACCTGGACTTGAAGCTCCCAGTGGAGATTCCCCCAGCGGCAAACCCTGCAGCCAGCTGCACTGGTGCCAATCAACATCTCTCCTGTCCCCACCATTCCCTGGCAGGGGCGTAGCCAGGAGTGGGCCTGGTTGGGCCTGGGCCTACACACTTAGCATCCAGGCCAAACTTTCCAAAACTCTGTCTCTGTCCCATTGAAGTGTGGGGGCTTGCCCCTCTCTACCCAGTATTCCAGCTGGGTCAGGGAAGTGGGGCTGGGAGCTCTGCAGTCCCTCACTCCTGACTGGGAGCAGACTTGAGGACCTGCAAGCCATCATGTTCTGCTGGTTGGTGAGCAGGGCAAGCCCCTGACCCACCCCCCACCCCTCTGGAGCACCCAGCAGGTAGACATGGGCAAGCCCCTGCAAAAAAACCCATTCCCAGCAGGGGAGAGAGGGGAGAGAGGTGGGTGGGGGGTACAGGGCACAGATATTTATGGGGAATCCAAATTTATGGGGTCTCTGGCCAGAGCATCTATCCCTCCCCTGCTTCCAAGGCTGGCAGGGGAAGAGGCAGCCCCATGGCTGCTACCCCTCCGGTCATTGCTCACCCTACTGTCCTATTCTGGCTGCCCCACTGCTTGTTGGCCTCCCGTAGATGAATCCAAGCTAAGCCCAAATATAGACACACTGCTCCACATCCAGAGCCCAGAATAGAACCCACAAAGCCTGACTCCCAGTCTAGTGCTGTAATCCTGCCAGGATCTAGCCTGTGTTCTGGTGGCATCGGGTAATGGCTCAGTGAAGATCTCAGGGCCATTTGCTCTCTTACCACTTGGCTGCTGGTGGCCAACGTGGACATGGGGACCTCAGAGTAGGACTTGCCCCCCACCCCTCTGGAGCACCCAGCAGGTAGACATGGGCAAGCCCCTGCAAAAAAACCCATTCCCAGCAGGGGAGAGAGGGGAAGAGAGGTGGGGGGGGGGTACAGGGCACAGATATTTATGGGGAATCCAAATTTATGGGGTCTCTGGCCAGAGCATCTATCCCTCCCCTGCTTCCAAGGCTGGCAGGGGAAGAGGCAGCCCCATGGCTGCTACCCCTCCGGTCATTGCTCACCCTACAGTCCCATTCTGGCCGCCCCACTGCTTGTTGGCCTCCCGTAGATGAATCCAAGCTAAGCCCAAATATAGACACACTGCTCCACATCCAGAGCCCAGAATAGAACCCACAAAGCCTGACTCCCAGTCTAGTGCTGTAATCCTGCCAGGATCTAGCCTGTGTTCTGGTGGCATCGGGTAATGGCTCAGTGAAGATCTCAGGGCCATTTGCTCTCTTACCACTTGGCTGCTGGTGGCCAACGTGGACATGGGGACCTCAGAGTAGGACTTGGATTTGCTGGTAAACCATCGCTTGTATTCCTCCTGCACCTGGAGTCGCAGAGACAGACAGTGGCATCACGCCGCTAGCACATGGGAGATCTCTTCTCTCAGCGCCTTAGCCCCATTTCTAACATGCCCATCACCTCAGCATCTCGGCATTACGCAAATCAACAGGAGCTGCATTTAATCCTGCTTGATAAAAGGGAGCTGAGTTCCCCGCCTCTGTGCCCTGGGACAAGTAAGAGCAGCCCTGGGGTTGCTGAAACATTCTGCTTACTGTGGCAGCAGAAAATACCCACAGTGCTTTGCACCCAATCCTCCCCCTGTAGCTGAGCCCACCCTGCTCTCCTCTGAAAGACACTCTGCCAAGTCCAGGAGGGGGCGAAGGGCCCTGGGGGTACCTGGCGATTGAGGAGGCAGTGCACCAGGAAGATGAAGACCCCCTGCAGGCTGTTGAGGATGATGAATAAATACGTCATGACTACGGCGGTTGGGCCGGTTTGGAGGAGACCGAAAGTCCACGTGCAGCCCAGAATGAAGACTTGGGCGATGGCTTTAAAGGTCAGGAGCCTGGAGAGAGGCAGACAGAGAGATCCCATGATGGCAGCCCTCTGGCAGCGGCTGAGTCTGGGGGGTCCGGGCTAAAATGACAAATGCCTACATAGAGCCAAGCTCCATCATTGCCCTGTACAGGTGTGAGAGCAGCTGGCCTAGAGACTTCGAAAGATCAATGCACAAACTGCTCCAGTTGAATGAAAGAGCCAAGGGTTGTTAAGAGGAGTGGGACAGATTCGGACCCTGTTTGGCTCAGGCAAAGGGGGCCCTGTAATATGCCCAGTAGTGCTGGCTGTGGACACATATAAGCACAGCGAGGGGAAAGTCCCCTGGGAGCAGATCTCCACCTGGTTTAAATCAGGAGATCTCAGAGAGAGACAGAAGCTTCTACAACCGGAGGGCCTGTACATCTTGGCTTCGCAAGAGCATCTATCTCTGCACAGAGTGTGTTCTAGGGCCTTGACCACTCCTCGGCTGAGGGACACATACAATGGGGTGTCCAGCACTGCTCTTGGGGGACAGTCTATCAGACTGAGGAGCCCCAAGAGCTGGCACAGTGCTCAGGGAGGCTCAGAACTCCTACAAAGTTATGCTGCCAGTAGCAGAGCTAGGAATTGAACCCAGGAGTTCTGACTCTCAGTTCTATCCACTTGATTCCACTCCACACCCACAGCTGGGGTCAAAACCCAGAAATCCTGACTCCCACACTGCCCCTCCTGATTAACCTGGAACAAGAAGAGCAGCATTGCTCAGTGGTTTGAGCATTGGCCTGCTAAACCCAGTGTTGTGAGCTTAATCCTCAAGGGGGCCATTTAGGGTTCTGGGGCAAAACTGTCAGGGGTGGTACTTGGTCCTGCTGTGGGGTGACAAGACTTGACCTCTCAAGGTCCCTTCCAGCTCTATGAGATACATTAAAATAAATCCATAGAGTAATGTTCTCAGCCCTGCTTTTAAAAGAACATTACCTGGTGTCTTTGAGGGTGGACACATTAGAGGTGACACTGGAAAGTTTTCTCTGCAGCATCCAGAGGGTTACAGCAAAAAGGATGGAATTGATCTGGAATCAAAGCAGAGCAGCGTCACTCAGCTGAGGAAGGAATATATACTCAAGAAGAAATTGTCACCATCAGCGAGAGTGTTGCTATTCGGTATTATTCGGCCAGCTCCCCAGCTAGAGCAAATCAGCACTGCACTGAAATCAATGGAGCAACACTCACTTATGCCAGCAGAGGATCTGGTCTGATAAAAGAACGGTTACTTACCTGTAACTGTTGTTCTTTGAGATGTGTTGCTCATGTCCATTCGAATCAGGTGTGCGCACCGCGTGCACCACGTCTCCGGAGCGTTTTCCCTAGTGGTACCTGTAGCGCCGGCAGGGCGCCCCCTGGAGTGGTGCCACTATAGCGGAGCATAAGTACCCCTGCCGGCACTCCCCTTCTCAGTTCCTCCTTGATGGAATGCTCTGATCGAATGGACATGAGCAACACATCTCGAAGAACAACAGTTACAGTTAAGTAACCGTTCTTTTCTTCTTCGAGTAGTTGCTCATGTCCATTTGAATCACGTGACATCCAAGCCAATCCCACTTCCCGGAGGTGCGGTTGGAGCACCCAGAAAGCGAAGTCCACAAAAGTTGAACAACTCAAACATATTTATTCAAGTAACAGAACACAGAAAACTGTAGAAAGTGCAATGTGGTACAGAAAAAACAAATGTATTTACAATACAGAGCTGAGGACCGCAGAGCCCAACCCTACAACCTCCCTAGCCTGCTGTGTCAGTGCGTAGTGCGACATAAAGGTTTGGAGAGACGACCACGTGGCTGCCCTGCAGATTTCAGTGATTGGAACCTGTGCTCCAAAAGCTACAGAGGATGCCTGTGCCCTGGTGGAATGTGCTATAACCCAGGGCGGGACCTTCCCAGCCAAGGCATAACACTCCCTGATGCTGTGTCAGTGCATAGTGCGCCATAAAGGTATGGAGCGACGACCATGTGGCCACCCTGCAGATTTCAGTGATAGGAACCTGTGCCCCAAAATCTATAGAGGATGCCTGTGCCCTGGTGGAATGTGCTGTAACCAGGGGCGGGACCTTCCCGGCCAAGGCATAACACTCCCTGATACACCTCGTGACCCAATTGGACAACCTCTGGGTCGATATGGGAAGCCCTTTCATTCTGTCAGCACTTGCTCCTTAGGGGAAGCATGGGGCTTTGGACAGAAAACTGGGAGGAAAATTTCTTGGGACAAATGGAATGGCGACACCACCTTGGGGAGAAAGGCTGGATGAGGGCGGAGCCTCACATTATTTTCCGAGAACACTAGGTAAGGCGGGTTTACAGTTAATGCCCCCAGCTCGGAGACCCTGTGAGCCGACGTAATGGTCACAATTAACGCAACATTCATAGAGAGTTGCTTCAAAGAACGGTTGGCCAGCGGCTCAAAGGGGGCCGACACAAGTCTAGACAACACGAGGTTAAGGTCCCAAGCGGGGAGAGGGGGTCTAACCGAGGGGGACAACTTGTTCAAACTCTTAAGGAACCTTTTGACCACAGGGTCAGGAAAGAGAGAGACCCCTGCCAATCCAACATGGAAGGCAGAGGGAGATGCCACGTGGACTTTGATAGAGGAGGTAGAGAGCCCACTGGACCTAACCTCAAAAAGGTAGTCCAGAATGGATGGGACAGGTGCACAGGATGGGAGCACTCCCCTTCTAGAGGCCCAAGATGAGAACCACCATCACTTGGGTGCGTATGATCACCTGGTAGAAGGTTTCCTACTTCTTAGGAGCACCATCTGCACCTCCTGGGAACATTCCCTTTCTGGTTGGGTCAGCCACGGATAAACCAGGCCGTCAGGTGGAGAGAGCTGAGATTCGGGTGAACCATGAGGCCTCCGTCCCAAGGTTGGGTCAGGAGATCCCAAACCGGAAGGATCGTTATAGGCTCCTCGCTGAGCATATCCACCAGGATAGGGAACCAGAACCGCTTGGGCCACCGAGGGGCTATCAGGATGACCGTAGACCTGAAGGTCTTGATACTGGTCAGAACCCTGGGAATTAGGGGAAATGGTGAGAATGCATAGAGGATGCCCGCCAGCCATGGGACGGTCATGCCATCCCCCCTGGAGTGTTCCCTCAGCCCCTACAGGGAGCAGTAACTCAGGCACTTGGTGTTGTGTGCTGAGAAAAACAGGTCCACTAGGGGACAACCCCACCTGCGGAAGACCTGACGAAGGGCCGAATGCTTGAGATACCATTTGTGGGCTCCAAAGGACCTGCTAAGAGCATAGGCCAGCTGATTCTTGCACGCAGGTAGGTACTCTGCCTGCAACACTATATCATGCGCTACGCACAGGTCCCACAGACCCAAGGCCTCGTGGCAGAGGGGAGGCGACCGGGCTCCCCTCTGCCTGTTGAGGTAAAACACAGCCGCCAGGTTGTCCACGCGGATCAGGACAGAGCGGCGAGAGAGCTTCGACAGGAAGGTCTCACAGGCTCTCCTGACTGCCCTGAGCTCCCAGACATTTATGTGTAGAGCCCGCTCTGAAGGAAACCACAAACTCTGGGTTCTGTGACATCCCAGGTGCACTCCCCAACCCAGGTCAGAAGCATCTGTGACCAGTGTAAGCGAGAAAGGAGGTACAGTGAATGGAACCCCGCTGCACACCACCGCCTCCTGAGTCCACCACTGTAAGGAGGCTATCACCTCCGGAGGCACTGTGAGAACCGTGTCCCAAAGACCCCTGGACTGGTTGAATGCCCTTGCCAACCAGGCCTGCAGCGGTCTGAGTTTCATTCGAGAATGGAGTACCACATATGTACATGCCACCATGTGTCCCAGCAGCCTCGAGCAGATTCGGGCGGTTGTAATGGGGAACCGGGTTAACTGGGAGATCAGCTCCACTATGGATAGAAACCTGGTTCTGGGGTGGAATGCTTTTGCCACCCTGGCGTCCAGGAGAGCACCTACGAATTCGAGGTGCTGAGAGGGAGTCAACTATGACTGTTCCTCGTTTAGCATGAGCCCCAGCCTTACGAAGAGGGCCCTTGTGAGGGAAACATGGGCCTCTACTTCTTTGGTAGGAACGACCACAAATGAGCCAGTCGTCTAGGTACGGAAAAATGTGTACCCCTTTTTTGTGGAGGAACACCGCTACGACCACTATGCATTTTGTAAAGATCCTGAGTGCAGTTGAAAGGCCAAATGGGAGCACCATAAATTGGAAGTGGCATCAGGAAACAATAAAAAGGAGGAACCACCTGTGGCTGGGTCTTATTGCCACATGGAAGTAAACGTCTTTGAGATCGAGAGTTGCACACCAGTCTCCTAGCTGTAAAACCGGGATGACAAAAGCCAGACGTAAATTGGAAGTGGCATCAGGAAACAATAAAAAGGAGGAACCACCTGTGGCTGGGTCTTATTGCCACATGGAAGTAAACGTCTTTGAGATCGAGAGTTGCACACCGGTCTCCTAACTGTAAAACTGGGATGACGAAAGCCAGGGTTACCATTCTGAACTTGAATTTCACAACCACTTTGTTGAGGTCCTTGAGATCTAAAATGGGACGAACTCTGCCCTTGGGTTTCGGGACAATGAAATATCGGGAATAAAACCCCTTGTCCTTCAGATGTGAAGGGACCCTCTCTACGGCTCCCTTTTCGAGGAGCGCTAACACCTCCTGACGGAGGATGCCTTCGTGAGAGGTGTCCCTGAAAAGGGACGGGGCAGGTGGGTTGGAAGGGGCAAGCCCAGGAAGGGGATGGTATAGCCACTTCTGACTATTTTTAGAACTCAGGCATCGGTGGTGATTTCTGCCCAGGCATGGGCAAACCGGGATAACCTGGCCCCAAACGGGGAGCCAGGGATAGCAGCCCATCAAAACTGGTGTTTGGGTTGCTGAGAGGGGCCTTGACCAACCCCACGGGGATTGTACCCTCTCGAGTGGCAACGACGACTCGTTGCAGATGACAGGGCCACAGCTGCCCCCGCACCTCCGCTGGGGGCATGAGGACAATATCTCCAGTAATCCCCATGGGGGACCTGGGACTACATTCTCTCCTGCTGTCTATAGGGAAGCTGACGATGCTGAGGGGCCGGTGTGTGGAACCCCAAGGACCGGAGAGTAGATCTCGTGTCCTTAAGCGTATGGAGCCTGGAGTCCGTGTGCTCTGAAAACAAGGCTTTGCTGTCACAAGGCAGGTCCTGGATCGTGGTTTGGACGTCTGGAGGTATTCCGGACACCTGCAGCCAGGCACCACTACACCCGACGCCATAGTACGAGCTGCAGAGTCAACAGCATCCAGGGAAGCCTGAAGAGCCGTGCGGGCAATGGTTCTGCCCTCCGAGGTCATGGCCGCAAACTCCTGATGGGCCTCGACAGGGAAATTATCCTTAAACGTATCCACCTCCTGCCATGTATTATAAGCATATCAACCCAGCATCGCTTGCTGGTTAGCAATGCGGAGCTGCACCCCACCGGTGGCATATATCTTACGGCCCATCAGGTCAAGGCGTTTGGGCTCCCTAGCCTTCGGGGACAGCCCTGGCTGTGGGAGCCTCTCCTTTTGAGCCACAGCTTGAATGACCAGGGACCCTGGAACAGGTTGAGAGTATAGGTGTTCATGCCCTGACTTGGGGACATAATAGTGCCTTTCGACTCCCTTTAAGGTAGGGGTCAGGGAAGCAGGGGTCTGCCGCAGGGCGTTAGTCATCTTGGCCACGGTTTTGTTAAGTGGCAAAGCCAAATGGGTGGGCGCATCGTCTGAGAGGATGTCAACCATGGGGTTCGTGTCCTCCACTACTGGCTCCACTGGGACACCCAGGTTGGAGGCCAGACGCCTAAGTAGATCCTGATGCGCTCTAGCATCCATAGTAGGCAACGCCGGTGCAGGATCCACCAAGGCTTCATCAGGAGACGAAGCTGACAACGACTCCTGGATCAGTACTGGATCCAGCATAGGGCCCGGTTGAGGGGCTGGCTGGGCAGGGTGTCCTCCACTACTGGCTCCACTGGGACACCCAGGTTGGAGGCCAGACGCCTAAGTAGATCCTGATGCGCTCTAGCATCCATAGTAGGCAACGCCGGTGCAGGATCCACCAAGGCTTCATCAGGAGACGAAGCTGACAACGACTCCTGGATCAGTACTGGATCCAGCATAGGGCCCGGTTGAGGGGCTGGCTGGGCAGGCGGCACTGCATGCGGATGTGGCTCCTGCACCAAAGCCTGCGGCTCTGTAGCAGCCTCTGTGGCAACAGACCTCTGGGGCAAAGGAGGGGGTCATGACAGCAATGCTGGCGCCGGCACCTG